ATCTATGCAGAAATAGAAGTACAATGATGTACACCTGAAATTTTTACAATGTCATAAAACAATGTTACTGCAATAAACAAAAAATTAAAAAAAAAAAAGAAAAAGAGCAAAACCAGCAAAAAAAAAAAAAAAAAGACACATCAAGAAGTTTACATTCTAGTGAGGCATAATATCAAATACATAAGGAGACAATTAAAACATAGTAGGATCATCAATATGATAGAAATAGGCACAGGGGCTATGGTGGTACTAGGAACCTCTAATGAAAGTTTGGTCAGGGAAGGCTTCATGGAGAAAGTGGGCAATAGTCAGGTAAATGGGAGGTAAAGTGGGAAGGGAGGTGCAGAATTCCAGGCAAAAAAAAAAAAAAAAAACGGCAGCAGAGAGAATATAAACGCTTTTCAGGCTCCAGAAATCACGTGTGGGCCTCTCTAATTCTACAGGTAACCAAGACCGTGAGATACTGAACAGTTTTGCCACGGTCAAACACCAGATTTCGAGTTAGGGGCTTAGTTTGCCAGATTTCCAATGCAGAACTGTTTCCACTATTCTTGTTTCTGTACAGAGACTATTGTTGAGCATGACAATGATAAGTTACATTCACCTGTCAAGACACCCCTGCAGATGTGTGTTTTATTTTTTAATTATAGCCACACTTGACCATCTAAAATTAACATAACATCAGTTACCATCAGAAGCCAGTGCTACAACAGTGAAAAATAATATATGGCGTCAAAATCAAGTTGGTTATTTATATTCAGAATATCAAAATAGATTAGATACCACTTAGATTTATGGCTAAGCTAGTACATTTATTAAATATCATGTCTCCATAGACAGAGAAAACTAAAAACTTAGGTAGTTCTGTTCTTATCATTGAAAACACTAAAACATATTTTACTACAGTCATACGTCACATAACGATGTTTTGGTCAGCAAAGAGCTGCATATATGACAGTGGTCCCATAGGATTAGTACCATATAGCCTAGCTGTGTAGTAGGCCATACTATCTAGGTTCGCATAAGTACACTCTATGATGTTTGCACGACGATGAAATTGCCTAACGCGTTTGTCGGAACATATCCCCGTTGTTAAGTGACACATGACTGTATTTACATGAAACTTTTTTCTTTTTAATCCGTGAAAACGTGATTTATTCAGATGTTATCTTTGTACTCTGTAAAATACCAAAATATTGATTCACAAATTTTCTCTATACCAAATGGTTGTAATTTTAAAGTTTTCAACTAGAAACTATGTATTTACTGTAAATAGTATCAATTATTATAACAATGCTGAATATTCTTGCTCTTTTAGTTACAATTAGGTATCATTTGTGGCTAAAGCTTTATTCTAATTTATTATTTTTCATTAAACTGTTTATTTTTTCTTAGGAAAGTATTTTACCAAACATCATTATTATCTATTACTATAAATTTATTTTGTTCTTCACACTGATAATAAGATATGAAAGGAGAATCTTTCCCTTCTGAGGAAAATCTAACATTTCCAACAGAAACACATTTGGTTCCGTTTACATAGCATAGAGTTTTTAGCACCTGTCTAGCTTCTTTGAAGTTTAAGTCATGCAGTTCATGTTGTGCTATTTGAATTGTTCACAAACTATTTTCTTTTATCTGGGTGCAAAAAGGGAAATTGGGTAAAATTGATAATATATTATCTTCTTCTTTGTGCAGATAACCTGCCCTGGATATAGTATTATTTGGTATCATAGTGTTGCCATCTAGTGGCCCCAAGGGACATTTATTTGTTAAGTTTATAGAATTGAATAAAACAAGAAAAACTTGGAAACAATGTTCCCATTTGGGATAAGTGCAATAAAATTGATGTGAACTAATATAAAGGTTACTTTTCCATAATATTATTTTCAGATATCAAAGTTCTAGAAATATATTAGGAAATTAAAAATCAAATATTAAAAACTGAAATAGAAAACTGTCATGATTTTTAAGAAATCTATTTTTTGTACCCATTAGTTATTAAACATTCAGCCCAGTCTAATTTGAAAAATCAGTTATGTTCAGAACAATTTTACAAAATTGTCTTTATATTTTAGATGGGACATATAATCAAGTATAATAATTAAAAACAAAAATATTTCAGAAAAATCCTCACTCTTGGGGGTTCAGTAGTCAATTAACTCTTTTATGTGTCTACTCATTCATTTATGCCATAGAGTTGATGATCCCCAGGGGCTTTTAATGAATTCAGCATGACTTTCTTTTCTCCGTGTTCAAGTGGTGCAGACTGCATCCCACTTGTGGTTCATATCTCTAACCACTGGGTGCCTTTTATCTCAAAATACTCTTTCTCCAGATATAGATATAAAATTTCTGGCGGACATAACACTAATTGACTGATATAAATTATGTTACTCTTTTCCCCTTCTATTACCAAAGAACATGCTTAAATAACAGTCCTGATCTAACTTTTCTCTGCCAAATTATATTTTCTTAAGTCCAGACATAAAGCAACTTTGTTTTTCAGTTTTTGTTATTTTCCTTATGACACCTCTCACTTAGCATACATTGACTATATAGGATGAACTCAACAAATACAGCTCTTTTTTTTTAACTTCTTATCTTGAAAATTTTCAAATAAGAAGAAAAATTGAAAGTGGAGTAAAATTTACACCTGTATACCATTTACCTTGATTCACCAATTGTTACTATTCTACCATATTTGCTTCTGTCTCTCCTCTCTTTTTCCTTTATATATAGTTTTAAAGTGAATTCCTTTGTGGGAAACCTAGATTTATTTATTTGTATCTTATATAATTTTTAAGTATTCATAGTGGATTTTGTGAACTGAAAAAACTATTTACAGTTACTTGTCTTTTTGTGAATGAAAAATTGTTATAATAACATATCTAAAAATTTATTTTTCTTAAGCCTTTGAATTCAATTTATATCTCATTATTCTATTTCTTTTTTTTTTTTTTTTTTTTTTAAAGATTTTATTTATTTTATTTTTCCCCCCAAAGCCCCAGCAGATAGTTGTATGTCATAGCTGCACATCCTTCTAGTTGCGGCATGTGGGACTCGGCCTCAGGATGGACGGAGAAGTGGTGCCTCGATGCGCACCCGGGATCCGAACCCGGGCCGCCAGCATTGCAGCGCGTGCACTTAACCACCAAGCCACAGGGCCGGCCCTCATTATTCTATTTCTAAACCTGGTATAATGAAAGTAATCATCTTTACTTTTAAAAGTTGTCAGGGACTGGCCCGCTGGCATAGCGGTTAAATGCCCGCGCTCCGCTTCTGCGGCCCGGGGTTCACAGGTTTGGATCCCAGGTGCACACCGACGCACTTCTTGTCAAGCCATGCTGTGGCGGCGTCCCATATAAAGTGGAGGAAGATGGGCATGGATGTTAGCCCAGGGCCAGTCTTCCGCAGCCAAAAGAGGAGGATTGGCGGATGTCAGCTCAGGGCTGATCTTCCTCATACAAAAAAAATAAAAATAAAAAGTTAAAAAATTAAATCATTTAACTCAAGTTGAAAATAAACTTCTTGACAAGGTGTCCTATTTACAACTCAGTTGATTACTTTCTCAGATTTTAAACCATACAAATGTATTTAATCTATTCAAGTTTTTTAAAGTTTTAAAAGACTTACAGTAGAAAAAACCCTGCATAAATATTGAAACAATTTTTTAAAATCTAATCCATAAAATTTATAAATATGACACAAGTTCTCTTAAATTCTGTTTACTTGGTCAAATTTTTATACCTGTAACATTAATAATTCGAATTCTAAAATTGAGTATACAATTAAATTTATTAAATTGAAAATACAATTAATTTAAATTCTCTTAAACTTTAAAGCACTTTAAATACCGTGTCCTCATAGGCACACATTCCAAATTTACAGGAAAACATTCATACTTTGAGTTTAGTGCACTCCTCATCTCCATATTTTTAAACCTGACTGAAGTTATATAACACTCATTAAGAAAATAATTTTACCACCCTAAATTGAGGTTTCTAGTTCAGGTGATCTCCTGCTATCATTTGCTTCTTGGCCAGAGATTTTTGCCTGCGACGGGACACCCGAGCTACACGTGCCCAGGATAGTCCTGCTGGCACCACTGACAGGCACACTGATTACCTTTTGTTGTCATTTTGGCAAAAGAGGGCTCCAGGTCCCCATGCTGGAGAAGTATTGGTCTTTCTGGGGTTCCAGTTATATCCTTTTGTTATTTTTCTATTTGTTAAAAATTATTTTTCTCTTCTCATAAGCTACTTTAATGTCCTTCTTTCTGTCTGGCCCCAAAGACACATTGTTAATTCTTGAGACCCTGCATACATTTGTGTATTCCTTGGTCTGAATTTAGGTTTGCAGCCTCCACCACGTGTTGCAGTTAACTTTGTTCATTCTGTTGACTGCCTGATTAAATTATGAACTCTATATGGTTTCTCGCTAACTAAGCCACAAACTTACAAATTAAATGACAATTAATTGGATTATATACAGCTTTGTCAGACTTTGTGGTTCCTGCACTAAAATCATGTTAATGGAAGTAATTTCTTGTTACGAGAAGGATTTGAGTTAGCTGACTCACACATAAAACCAATGATAATAATAATAATACCTTGATAATATGAGGGTTAAAAGAAGTTCAGTAAAATAAGATGAAATCAGGTTCTGTATCAAATACTCGTGTAGGTCTTAGTATATGCCGGCTACTCTTCTAGGTACTTTATTCTTAACACTTGAGTGCTACTCCTAAGTGTAAATGAAGGAGCTGAGGCACAGAGAGGTTAAACAACTTGCCCAAGTTCACACAGCTAGTAAGTGGCAGAATCACGATTCAAACCCAGCCAGTCTGACTGTACCATCCACGTTCTTAACAGTAGTGTTAATTTCATAAAGTTGTATACACAGTAAACCTGGATATGTTTAATGTAATTGTGGTTTATACATTTTTGTCAGATCCAGAAACAAATAATGACTTATTTTTAACTGCTGTTTCCATGTAGGTAGTGAATTGTTCACTGGACTCTACAGTGACTACTGGGGCAGAGACGCTGCGATCTTCCGGAGCATGGGGCGACTGGCACCCATTCGCACCGAGCATGACGATGAGCGCCTTTTGAAAGGTAGGTTTGAGGAGAAAAGAGTATGTAAATCAGAATTGAAAACAAGGCTAAAACTCATGGGAAATTTGCCATTTTGATAATAATGACAATTGACAGTACAAATGTAATTTGTAGTTTTTACAAATTTCAACATTTTTTTGTTAGCAATATTCCTGAATTAAAATGTTAACTATGATATGTGTATATCATTTTATATACAAATGGATTGGCTTTATTATAAAACCAAATTACCCTCATAGCAATGCTTGGAAGTCAGGATTTAAATGAAGAAAACAAATATTTGAAAAGTGAAAAACTCTTTCATCCAGTAAGTTGTTTTGTTTTCTCTTGCCAATTGATGTAATTTTGGATGAATTGATTGCTTTGCTTTACTTGTTTTAATAAGATCACATTGCACTTTAGAGACAAATAAAACTCTAGTAAAATCACTAGCCATTCATTGATATAGCATTTTTTGTAAGGAATAATGTTTATATTTTGGCATACTGGTATATTTAGGGACTAAAACATCATTTTATGGTGAGCGTTTTCATTATTTTCAGCCTTTTTATTAGGCTTTAGAGTGCGTAGTCATTAGTGGGAGCATGTTATCATTAAAATATTTGACATACTCTATCAGTCAGAGGTTATTCACTCAGATTCCTCAGACTACAAACACAAAAACTTAAAATAAATTTTCCACCTTAAAATTAAAATGGTCTTCCATGAGCTAAATTGGTAGATAATTTATGAATTAAAAAAATGATAGACTTTTTTACTAAAATGCTTCACATATATTTACATTGATTTTTTATGTAAATGGGAGGAAATTTATAGAGATTATCATCATCATGCCCCTAATCTGTCCTTTGAATGCATTTCAAGTCTATGTGTTGTTTAAAATTGGTTTTTGCCCTCCCTGACTCTTAGTTTCCAATCAAATTTTCCACTGATATTTCTTAAAAATGGTTGACTTACACAGATAATGGAGCTATCTGTAGGATTTTAATGGTTAGTACAAACTTTTAAGGAAAATATTTTATTTCTTCATGAAATGTTGCAAGTTAAACTTAAGCATCCACATGATATATAATTTATTAGAATATCGTTTTGTTGTAACAGCTATTTTACTTTTCTTTTATTGTTTACTTCTATAGAACCAAAATTTGTAGGTTCATATATGATTCCTGACAATGAAGACCAAGATGACAACAAAGTGTATTTCTTTTTTACTGAAAAGGCCCTGGAGGCAGAAAACAATGCCCATGCCATTTACACCAGAGTGGGGCGACTTTGTGTGGTGAGGATTGCTTGTCTCTCTCGTTAACCTTGCAGATCTCACAATTTATGGTCAGGCCTTTGTTAATTTTATAGTAGATTTCTACTTTAAAATATTTTCTAATATTCTGTAGGCTGCCTAAATTTATATTTACTATCTAATCTTTATGCTTCATATCTAGGAAAAGTTTTATCTGAAATGAACTTTGCATTTTGTATGATTTTCCCCGTTTTCAAAGCCATATTAAGTCTATAATTAGGCTGTACTTTCTCCCACACAGAAGTTTGAGCTCCATTTTTAAAAATTAATTTAACCAAAATCTTTTTAGTTTCTTGAGTCCACATTCTAAGTAATTTACGTAAGTATGCTTCAACAATTCATTTGGTTGATTATGTAGAAAAAAACATCTGTAGTTTGTCGGTGTCAGATAGGTTGTTTGGGAACATTCAAAACCAACTGAAGTAGCAATAGATATTGAGAGAATGCTAATAATATTGCACATGTAAAGTTATTTTGATATTTAAGAAGATATTTAAGAATAAATTTAAGAAGATTTAGATATATGTCAATGTATGTATATATAGTGTATGTATGTAAATATATGTTTATATTGTGTGTATATTTCAAGTTTTTTTCCCTAAAGGAAGAAAAAGGGATGTATGCTTCCATATTTCTGAGATAAGCAGATTATTTATCAATATAATAGTAAAAAGGTTACTGTATCATTAAAACCACTCCTTTATTTAGTAGAGACTACTCTTGACATTCTTAATATCTAGAAAGTATATTTAATGGGCCAGGGTGAAAGTACACTGACAAGGCAGAATGTGCAAACCTAAAAAAAAATTTATGGGGAATTACATCTATGGGATTGTTTGAGGATTATGCTAAATTTTCCACATTAAATGAAAAAGCTATAGCTCTTGCAGTCTGTATGTTTAATAATACAAAAGAATCTGTTGTTGTAAAGGTTCTTCAGGTACCTATTTACCTGCTTTTTGTTTTTTGCAGAACGACGTGGGAGGACAGCGTATACTGGTCAATAAGTGGAGCACGTTCCTGAAGGCGAGGCTGGTGTGCTCAGTACCAGGCATGAATGGAATTGACACGTATTTTGATGAATTAGGTAAATATTATTGGGAGAATTAAATTTCACTCTTTGATGTATATGCCTCTCTGTAACCCTCACTGTCTCTAGCACATATGGAAACTTGCTTTCTGCAGTATCTGACTTCTGTCTAACTTAGAGCAAGTTTCTGTTCTTTTCATTTTGACCAGGTCTACGTGGTGGGGGCAGAGGAGTTGCAGGAACAAAAAGAGACCCGTCTCATTAGCTCAGAGTCAGCTCCTCTGGTTCCTTCCTTGAGGCCCAGCTCAAAGCCAACCTGAACAGCCAAATGTTTCAGTCTCTTGTGATTTGGTCATGGTTGTATGATTGTATATGAAAACTTATATCTTAAAATCTATAATGGATTCTAAACTATTTTATGGCAATATATTTTCTTTACATGCAAAGAGGGCTAAAAATACTGAGTAATGTAATGGTCTTTAATTTTTCAGAGGATATTTTTTTGCTGTATACCAGAGATCATAAGAACCCAGTGATATTTGGACTCTTCAACACTACCAGGTGAGAAATTTATAGAGTCAATAAAAACACGATGAAACAAAAGATGCCTCACCCCTTCACTGTGTATGTAACTTGGAATACTGTTGACCCATTTGTCCTTCTCACTTTCTATACTTTAAGTGTCACCAATTTCTCTTCATTCTCCTATGTTTGCAATTCTGCTTTCATTTTTAAAGTCACAATCTCAATCCAGATCCTTATTTGTTTTTGTTTGAAGTACCTCATCATCCTCCTATGCTCAGTATCCTAATCTCTTCCCTCTCTGATCGACAACAGAATGATTTCTTTTCTTATATAGTTTATAAGATATTAATTTCGTACTACAGGGTCTAGGGTAATTCTTTTAATCATCATATAGAATTTTCCAAGTCAGACTTTCAAGGCTATCTATCAGCTGTTACCTACTCACCTTTGGAATTTTTACTCTAAGCTCTCTAACGCTCTGCCTTTGACAAGGTGATACCTTGACAAAATCTCAATATCTACTGGACTAGTTCCCATCACTATGATTTTATTTATCCACTTCTCTTACTTGAAATGACTCTCTCTTTCAACATTGGTTTGTATCAGTTCTCCAATACTTGTCAAATGCCATCTTTAAGAAAATACTCCTTGAGGGGGCTGGCGCAGTGGCACAGCGGTTAAGTTCTTGCCTTCCGCTATGGTGGCCCCAGGGTTTGCTGGTTCGGATCCTGGCCGCAGACCTACTCACCACTCATGAATCCATGCTGAGGCAGTGTCCCATATAGAAGAGCTACAACTCTACAACTATGATATACAACTATGTACTGGGGCTTTAGGGAAAAAAGGAAAAAAAGAGGAAGATTAGCAACAGATGTTAGCACAGGGCCAATCTTCCTCAAAAAAATAAAAGAAATATTCCTTGATTCCTTAATCACAAAGCATTCTGCTCACTTCTTTACTCCAGTTGTCCTGCTCCTGTGTAGATTCATAGTGAACACACGTTTATAATTTGCCCTCCATGTTTTACACTTAAATAAATTGCTGGAGTTTAGAGCTTATGATCTTTTATTTTTCTCTTTTACATTTTTGTATTTTGTATCCATTGAAGAGTACTGGAAAAATAAATCAAATATAATTCCATGTGTGTTGATACATGAATAAAAAAGTATTATTAGAATCCGTTTGGGTTGAAAGTTTATATATATAATTTCTTGAGTGTCTTTCCGAATAAGGCAGAGTAGAGGTGAGATGACTGGAATGAGAAATAAAGAATATGCCTCAATTCTCTTGACAGGGATAGAATGATATTACTCAGTTCTTCTTTTGCATTGCATTGGCCTTGAACTCATATAATCATGTAACCTTGTTTGCTTAGGGTCTCTCCACAAAGCTTTTGTTTAGTTTTTCAGCAGGTGATTTCTTATGCTCACTTTGAAAGAAATAATAAAGCTCTTTGGACAAGCATCCTGGTATTGTAACACGACCTTTTCTTCAATAGAGAAACATGGAAACAATTTTGCTATCAGTTATTCCTTGATGCAAAGAAGATTAGTTAATGTGTATTGGTAGTTATCACAGTCCATGAAAAAATCCCTAACTTTTTTTTTTTAACTTCATCTTCTCCCTTATGCCAGTGAAAAATTTATACATTGCATGATAATTCTGTGGCTTTATATGATAAATACAAACTATGAGATTATCAGTGTAGTTTTCTATGGGTTAGTATCATCACTTTATAAGCTACTGTCCTAAATGATAGCATAATGGATCTGTCTGAGATTTCGAAGACAAGACATGATTTTCTTTCATAATTTCAATTTGGACTGTTCAATTTATCTGAGAAAAAGGATTCCCAGCTGTTACCTGACATAAAGGTTGATTTTCATAGCATGCTGATCAAAGGTCTACTGCCACTTGGGTTGAGAGACTATCTCTGCTTTTCTCCCTGTTGCAGGCATTTCCAATTGCTTCAAGGTGTGTTATAAAATGTGTGAATTGATGTCCTAAAAGAGTAACATAAATGCTGTTGTACAGGTATCTTAGAGTGTAGGAAATTTTATATTTATAAAGAACTTTGCATTTTGCAGAGCACTTTCACAAACACTAATTATTTTGATTCTCACAATAAGGAGGCTGTGGAAATGTTAGAATTCATTCATATCATGCCCAATTGAGAAATATGGCCAGATCTTTAAAACAAATCATCTAGAAATGTCCTTTTGCAGAATCTTATTACAAATGCCCCCAATAAACCTTGCTGTAGAAACTTTTATCAAGAAAATAATTTCAATTTGCTAGTAGTTCTGGAGGTAAAGAATCTGAGTGTTATATAATTTAAAGTTGTTTTCCCAAAATTAATCTAGTTCAGTCCAGTCATCTTTCCACTATAGCACTGTTTTCCGTGACCTGGAGGATGGAAAATACAGCAAGCTTGTTAATGTCTGTGTGACCCCAAGCTAAAAAATATAACAAAGTTCCAAATTTTTGTGAGACTTTAAATTGTTCTTTAGTGACAATATGAGAAATTATTACTGAGAAATCTGATAAACACACTGAGAAATCTAATAAAATTTAAATAGAATTTGGAGCAATTTTCACAGCATGGTGATTAGGAGAACAGTATCTACTCTCAATATGGAACAACATACAAGGAGATAAACCTTAAATGAGTAATTCAACTTGGGAATGAATTCTTTACTATTAAGGCCAGATCTTCCTTAATAAAAAATATAAAAACATTATATAAGATTTAACAGTAATAAAGTGAAGTGACACAACTACTTTTTGATTCTAACAATGTCATTTTCAATTTATGATAATAAATAGGCAAAGAAATGGTATGTTTTGGAGTTTCAATACTTGAAATATTGCAGCAGTTAATATTTCTAGAATATACTATGCTTAAGAGATTGCAACTTTTTTACCCAAAAGACTTCCTTCTTATCTGTGTGGTCTGGAGGGTTTGACTAGGTGACCTCCTAGTCAGTCCCAGAATAGTAATTATCTTCTTTTGTATTTTTCAGTAATATATTTAGAGGGCATGCGATATGCGTCTATCATATGTCTAGCGTCCGGGCAGCCTTTAATGGGCCATATGCACATAAGGAAGGGCCTGAATACCACTGGTCACTCTATGAAGGAAAAGTCCCTTATCCGAGACCTGGTTCTGTAAGTTTAGACATTTAACGAAGTGTTCTTATTTTTTAAAGACTCTTTTATAATATTCTGTTCACTGTTTCCGATGCTTTACAAAACTTTGCATTAAACAATTAAGAAGTTCTGCACCTAAAAATATGCTTGATTACTTGCATGGTAAAGAAATATCACTTATATTTAGCCCTATGCTTGTTATTTAATGAAAAGAATATATATTGTAAAGTATATATTATCACTGATATTTTGGCTAAGTAGCTCCAACTAAAATTTTATTTTTAAGGGTACTGATGAATCCAGAAATATCCACTCAAGTAGTATCATATCCCTCCTAGCCTCTTCAGAAGAAAATTAGTGCCCTGTATAATTTCCAAGCAGGAGAATGTTGCCAAATTTTTATGTTCTAATATTTGGGTCCGCCTCTAAGTTCTCTAGGCCAAACTTTCTTCTTACTTCTCACTGTAGCCTACCTAAAAGAAACTTTTCTCTGCCTCCTCAGAATACTTAATATCTCATTTAACATCCTTGCTGGCTCCTAGAAGAAAAGTGCCAATACAAAAGTGTCGTTGGAATACAGGAAGTTCCACCATTTGCCTCTGAACTGGTGCCACTAAGATTCTCCCTAACTAGCCATTCAAACTCTTGTGCTTTTAATTGCACATGTGTCTAAAAATGATACCAATGGCAATGATGATGATGATGAGATTCTGAATTATGTGTCCTGTGCGCAACTAGGTTGGAAAACTGTAGGATCATTGTGTGTACTATGTGGGCCACGGAGAACAAACATTTAACTTGTCGTGCAAGTCAAAGTCTACGCTTTTATGAGCAGCTGGTGAAAACCCATCACTATGCTGATTCCTCAAGTACTTGCAAGTCAAGTAGAAACCGTTTTTGCGGAGCCAAAGTCCAAAGTGGAAACAAACCTTACCTCCATTAACAAGTGTGAGGCTTTACCATTTCAATCTCTCTCTCTCACTAGCTTAAAATTATTACTTCCAGTAAGACATAAAGTGTATTTTATTTCACTCTATTGATCAAAATTACAATTTAAATGGAGAAAACCCACTCTTGTGGCTTTGCTGGAAATGCTTCTTGAAACCACATGGTATTAAAAGAGATTTGAAGGAAGTGACTAGTTACTGAACTGCTTCCAGGCTGGTCCAAAATGTTTCCAATTATATATCATCAGAGTACACTCAAGTGAAAAATTCATGCTGAATTAAGAAACATGGCCTGAATTTTTAAAACAAACCATTAAAAATGCCCTCTTTGTAGAATCTGATTATTAAACTACTGTATTTATACTCTGAAGTGGAAAATTTTTATCAAGACAATCATTGCAGTTGCTGCTGGTTCTGAAAGAAAATACGTGAAATGAGTGAGCACTTAATAACAAGCGTGAATCAACACAATTAAGGCATTCCAAGGAGTAACTTAGGGGCTATTGAGCATTTATTTTTAGAGTCAGTGATTTAAGAATTGTGACATGTTATAGCAAATATTTCTGGTTTTCTCAATTTATTGTGTCTAATTCATACAAAAATAATACAAATTCATACAGATTACAGTAGAACAGAGAGCTTTTTTTTCTTGATTAACAATAATGGAATTTGAATAAGTTTCTACGTTATAGCACTAAAATTCTATAGTCAGTGAGCCAGTTGGAAACGTCATCAATCATATTATCATAGTGTCGATAATGGGAAAGCTATTTTTTGTGGTTGTGATCCTTAATTTGGGGGGAATATTTGGCACAACAAAGAGGCTTTTTGTTTTGCTATGAACAATACATTGTTTACCTTCAAAATTTAATTTAAAATGTGAAAAAATAAATTTCAGAAAACAGGGAAAATAATTACAATATTTATGATGTTATACATTTTTACCCCCTAAATATACTTAACTTTTCCAGGATTACACTACTTTCCATTTATTCCTACTGCTGCATGTTGGAAATAATTTAGTCTCTCTTTGCAATTTTTAATACAGATGGAATGAAGAATATATGGTTACTAAATATTTCTAAATGCACAGTTGATTAATTGAACATATCCAGTTTTTCTAATTCTTTTCATAATTGATTATAAATTTGCTTTTTAGGTGTAAGGCAAACAATTATTTCATCCAATTGTATTTCAGTGTGCCAGCAAAGTGAATGGAGGGAGGTACGGAACCACCAAAGACTATCCCGACGATGCCATCCGATTTGCGAGAAGCCATCCACTTATGTACCAACCCATAAAACCTGCCCATAAAAAACCAATACTGGTGAAGACAGATGGAAAATATAACCTAAAACAGATAGCAGTTGATCGAGTAGAAGCTGAGGATGGCCAATATGATGTCTTGTTTATTGGGACAGGTAAAAATTAGAAAGTACTCAGAGACATTTAAATTGAAGCTTAAAATCCATACCATTATTAATATTTAAAAAAAATACCTATCAACAAATCCGTTGATCCATTAGCCCATTTACATACCACTTATCCGCTGCAATGGAAGAGAGGATTTGGGGCAGCTAACAGCACATAATTCCTGCTACATGGTCAATACTTAATACATTCGAACAAATGAATAAGTGAAGGAATGAATAATTGATGTTATTAAACAATGTTGATTCAAATAGAACTTCTCACAGAGGAAGTAGGGTGCCATAGCGAGGATGGTTCTCCTGTCAGTCCCTCGGGTCCATTGCCGCCTTTGGCTGTTCAGTAAGGTCTCGAGATTTTTCAAACAACTTGGTACAATAACTTCTCCTAAATCTATAATCGCAGCAACGCTTACCGGGCCCCATCAGAATCAACCATTGGTACCAAACAGGCCAAGTGTTACCCATAATGGAGGTAAACTTTTAGACCAAAGCTATAATATCCTGTATTAATAAAACAAAATGTAATAAATATGCTAAAAGTGAAATTTTCAAATAAATCTATAATTTCCATTAAGGCCATACATTAAATCTAGCTTGTGGAAGAGAACTGGAATCTTTTAGCAGCCAGGGTAAGATGAAGCAAATTCTGTCAAGAACTTGAAAACTGTATAGTCATTTAAAAAGTCCTTAAAATGATAATTTCTTTCTTTTTTCATATGTATCATAGTAATTGCTCCCGCAGTTGCTGTTTCGAAGAGTTAGCGTTCTGCCACAGAGGACTAAATCATAGACGTGTAATTCTAGAGAGACATCGCATAAGCACAGATCAGGAATCAGGATATAAGACTAATATTGGTGCTTGGGCTTCTCCAGTCACACTTTTTGAAAAAGCCAAGATTTAAGTAAGAACACATTCATCTGATTTGCAGAAATTTATCTCTGGTGCAGGCTATATTGTATCCATTTATTTTAGGAGGTTAATAACATGCCCTGCACTGTGGGCTCAAGATTAACAAAGCATCAGATTTCTTTAACAAACTTAAAGTTACCTGGCCATGAATTCATTCAGAGTGATATCCAACAGAGCTATAAAAATAAAAATAAAAAAAGAGTTTCATAAGCTAGAGTAATATTTGAGAAAATTAATCATGGAAAAAAGTATGTTCTTTTTAAATGCCCTAGAAAGTAGAAGTCATATATATCAGTCCAAGAATGTTTTAGAAATACTGTCTTGTTAGACTGACCAAAGCTATTTCAGAGAATTCCAGAAATATCAGATATACACTTACGCTATCATATAAACCATGTTTAACTCAAAGATATCATAATATTGAACCACAGCTGTTCAGCACAAAAGAATATATTTGATGAATGTGTGATGGATACACCATTAGAAAAGCCCATAAATGGTAGTTATTTTTCCACAAATTTATCAGACATATGCTTTAACTAGAACTATATATAGTTCTTATTACAAAATCACTAGTTGCAATTTAATAGTTTGAATTTCACCTTTGCTTTTTGCTTGATATAATAATTGTGGGATATTTATTATGTGTGCTTGATTTTAAAAATTATGATAATTTGTGTTCCTTTTAGTGTATGGTATAGGTAATTGTTATTAGTTTTATTTTAATCCAATTTTATTAACCCAACCACAAGATTGCATAATTTTTAAACAAATTGCTTAAATACCATAGAAACTCTTGGATCAGTACCGCCAAAGTGCTCACATTGTTCTGAGTTGTTTCTAGCACTACACCAAATTATTCTTACTGGAAAATTAGTGTCTTTTAAAATTTTTCACTAGGAAGAACAAGCTCAGAATATCAGGAATAATAAAAGTAGGTAGGAATAAAATATGAATATAAATTTATAAAATCAGTGGTAATTATGGAAGCTATATGATTAGTACAGGAGGAGTCAGGCTATTCTCTCAATAGTGTATAGTTGAAATTTTTCTTATTAAAAGTGTGTGTGTTATATACACACACACACACACACACACACACATACACACATATATATGAATGTTTCCATAATGTGTTGCTTGGAAGGTTCCCTAAGATTAAAGATATAGTTTCTTATCAGGAAAGTAGCTTTAGGTAAGAAGATTTTCTTTCATCATTCATCACAGAAGAAGCTAAAATAATTTGGCATCTGTCTTATATTTCATTAATTCCAAAAGACATTTTGATTTCTGAACCTTGTATTGGATTTTTGAATTGAAATTTTGGAAAAATAACTATATGTTATTTGGTTTTATTTTTTGGCCAGGCATATAAAGTTAATATTTTGCTAATTGAAAATGGGAATATGTAAGTAGTCATATTGTTTTATCTAGCAATGATTAAATGTTTCATGGATCTAGATTTCAAATCTTATTTGAATCCATAGTCTCTACATGGCTTTTAATTGTTTGAAAACCAGATTGTGACAAAGATTCTAGTTTATCTCTTCTTTTGCTTTCTTACAGATAATGGAATTGTGCTGAAAGTAATCACAATTTATAACCAAGAAACAGAATCAATGGAAGAAGTAATTCTAGAAGAACTTCAGATATTCAAGGTATTTTTAGTAAAAAATATAACCAACATTTATGTATTACAGACAATTTCAAGTGAGTTGTAAATAGGAAAGACATTGTGTCAATTTTTTCCTAACAAGCATGTTGTGAATTCAGAATGAATTGAAGTGAGGAATGATTTAAAATCCTGATGCATCTATCAGATTGTCACAGACTATGCAAATGAAGAGGCCAATATTTACCTAACATGAAAAGAATTTCCAGATGTGAACTGTGACTTAAAGAAAGAACGCTTATATCACATATGAATTCCAGAGTCATTATTGCAAAGTCTCATCTTGTGCAAATGTACTATCAATACAGACAATTAAAAAACAACGGTAGATTTCATACTGTGGACAATGCAGTGTGATAAGTATACTGCTTTTTATCGTAGCGTGTTAGTTACACAGAGAATTTACTAAAAAAAGAGAAAGATACAAAATGCTAATGGAAAGATTAGACGTGTAAAAAACAATTGTATATGTGCATACACACACACACAGAGTCAAGTCTCAATATTGAGGCAGTTCTGGTCTTTAAAGTCGCTGTGAACACAGAATTAGTGAATATTGACCATTGCTCCTGGGGGAAATACAGGATCAGATTCCTGCGAGTCTCTAGTCACAACATTTTTGTCAACTGATTAATTCATAACCTTGTTTTATGTGTGTTTCTGTTTAAAGGCACCTTACTTAGTATATATTGTTGATTAGTTAACATTGAACTCACTGCCAGCACCACTATAACTCCTGCCTGAACAAAGCTTAACACATGTATTTTCTCCACAAGGCACCTTTTGGAGCTTAGGGATGCAAGACAGCTCTTCAGCTCTATGCTTAGGGGCCATTTTAAACATCAAAATTACCAACAAAAGGCACAAAAATGTGAAAACGTGGCACTAAGTAGACCATGTAGACGCCGTTTACAATGTGCGAGCTGAAACAAGAAGGCTGAGGATTGCCCGACCCACCTCAGCTGGGAACGTGCGTGTTGGGCAACTCCAATTTTTTGCCACTCTGTGCATGCACATGTTCGTGAATAACTGCAAAACACCACAAGTATTGATGCTGGGGTTACAAATAAATTTTAGCAAGTAAGCAAATATGCAAAAATACAATCTGCAAATAATGAAGATGACTGTGCATATATATATGTAATGAATATATATGAAAATATTTTTATTGATGAAAAACAGTTCATTTCACCTCGGCTGTCCTGGAGATTAGGTTCCCCGTAACCACACCCAAAGCTAACCACGTTTCTATCTCAGAGCAGCTATGCTTTCGTATATTATGCGTATTGGATGTCACTGTAAGATTTCATTTCACGTTAGGGACCATAGCTCTCATATTAATAGCATCCACCATGGTGTCTTGTTCATATAAACTCTTAAGAAACATTGTTGGCTGAATGAATAAATGAATGCATGCATGCATACATAAAGGGTTCTGTAGTTTAAAACATTAAAAAAAATTGACACAAAAGATCAAATATTCTTTCATAAAATAATTCTTCAATGGGTAATCGTCCCAGAGTAGAACCCACCTACCCATTGCTTCTCCACTTGCAGAATTGATGTGAGCTTGTTTTGCTCCCTAGAGACACTCTAATCACCATCCCTGGAATAACACATAGGCTCTCAAAACTACACTATACATCATTCTTCCTCTGGTGCAATTCTAAGACAATAAAGTTTTTCATCTTGCTGAAAGCATCCTGGGTTCGTTGTGATTGACCATGATAACTCCGATGAAAAGTATTTTGTTTAGGCTTGGGTTAAAACAATTAAAGATCACATAGTTTATTAGCAATACCACCTATTCGAAGACACAACTGTTTCACTTCTAATGGTTCAACTACTTTATAAGAAAGAAAACTCTGACTTTATTTTATTTAAAGATATTTGAGTTTCCAAAGCATGAGTAATATTCAAATGCAAATACAAAAATTACATTCCAGAGATAAACGATAAGCTGCTTAGATTATCCACCACTTTTCTCACCTACATATCTGTCCCACTCCATTAGAAAAGATTTTTAAAAAGAAAGCTATATTTTAATTTGATTGTATTTTCCTGTTGATTTACTAAAATGAAAGCTATAGACTGCTTGGCATAGAACCACTGACACACCTAATATGATTTCAAGTGATTTACAACGATATTTAGGTATGTTCCTATATTTTCTTTCTTAAAAAGGAAATTTTTTTAAAAATTTTTCAGGATCCAGGTCCTATTATTTCTATGGAGATTTCTTCAAAGAGGGTAAGTTGTGTGCGTGTGTGTGCATGTGTGTCTGTGTTCTATATGTGAGTTAAAGTCAAAGGATAAAGAGCATAGGTACATGTGCTTATATATGAACAAGTTACAGTTTTATTCTGACAAAAATATATAGTGATTTATTTATAATATAATAATATAATAGATTTCTTCATTTTCTATTTTTAGAAAGCTAGACAAGTTTATGTACTTCTACAGTCATGATAGGACTTTATTCTATAATTTTTTGGCTAATATTTTTGATGATGGTAATATAAAAAAGTGTGCAGTAAAACACAAACCTCCCTTCCATTTTACTGGAACCAGTTTCTGGCGTATATTTATTCAGAAATAGTTGTTGCATATATTACCTCAAATTTATTTGTAAATAACCTTTTATGTTTAGGCAAATGGGAACATGCAGTATTGTTCTGCTACTTTTGTCCCTTTTACTTGACAACGTATCTTGCAGTTTATTCCTTGTCATTCTATATGTACCTACATCACTCTTCTAAATGTTATATGTCAACGTACACTGTTGGTGGGAATGTCATTTGATGCAGCCACTATGGAAAATGGTGTGGAGGTTCCTCAGAAAATTAAAAATAGAACTGTCATGTGCTGATCCAGCAATTTCGCTTCTGGGTATTTACTTGAAGGAAATGAAAACACTAACTCAAAAAGATATCTGCACCCACATGTTCAGTGCAGCATTATTTACAATAGCCAAGACGTGGAAACAACCTAAGTGTCCGTAGACAAATGAATGGATAAAGAAAATGCAGTATATATATATATATATATATATATATATATATATATACACCACATTATATATATATATATGTATATACAGTGTAATATTATTCAACCATTAAAAAGAAGGAAATCTTGCCATTTGCAACAATATAGATGGACCTTGAGGGCACTATGCTAAGTGAAATTAGTCAGAGAAAGACAAATTTCATACGGATTCACTTATACGTGGAATTGGAAAAAAAAAAACAACAAGTTCATGGATACAGAGAACAGATTGGTGGTTGCCAGAGGCAGGGGATGGAGAGTGGGTGTAATGGGTGAAGGTGATCAAAAGGTACAAACTTCCAGTTATAAAATAAATAAGTCCTGGGGATGTAATATATGGCATCGTGATTATAGTTAATAATATTGTATTGTATATTTGGAAGTTGCTACAAGAGTAGATCTTAAAAGTTTTCATAACAAGAAAAAAAAATTGTACCTGTGTGTGGTGGGGGATGTTAACTAGACTTATTGTGGTGATCATTTCACAACATATACAAATATCACATCATTATGTTGTACACCTGAAACTAATATAATGTTACATGTCAATTATCTCAATTAAAAAAATGCAAAAAAAGTCCATTTATTTATCTAATTTCTTATTGGACATTCCTATAGCTCTTTTAAAAAGCCCTGCAATGTTAGATGATGAGAGTCTTTCAACATAGATCATGAGTAAAAGAATAGTCAACTTCTTGAGATTTTGTCAAGCTCCCTCTAGCAATTTTGTTTGTCATGCATCCAAGTCTATAAAAGTATTTCAAATCTTGGAAAAATGAAAGGATCGATATTCTATTATCTATCCTGGGCGATTGCAGTAATCTAAGTGAATATTCGTAGAAGTGATTGTCTATAAATGTGAAAATCTAGGTGTGAGAGCTCAGTGAGAGTTCTGTCCTTTTCTGCTAGTGGCCTCTCTCTTCTTTGATGTCTACAGCAACAGCTGTACGTTGGATCTGCTTCCGCCGTGGCCCAAGTCAGATTCCATCAGTGTGACATGTACGGAAGTGCCTGTGCTGACTGCTGCCTGGCTCGAGACCCTTACTGTGCCTGGGATGGCATATCCTGTTCCCGGTATTACCCAACGGGCACACATGCAAAACGGTGAGACAGAGTCCTCCGTGGAATATTTCCCTTGATTAAGAAAACCCTAACACTTTTTTAAATCTTCTTTCTGCACCCATTCCATTAGAATAACCATGTTATTTTTGTTTAAATAAATCACTATAGTCATATTTTGTTCATAACCTAAGCTTTGAAAACTTGAATTATTCCTGAAAATAACTCCCATCAATTATCATGTAGAGACTGGAGCTGAGCATGCGGCTGGGTTTTTATTTTTCCACCCAGGTTTGAATCAACTCTTCCCCCTCCTGAAAATTTTGCTGCAAGACATGAAACCAGTTTAGATAAACTTAAAGTGTGGACATGGCAAGCCACCACACATGAGGGATTCAAAGACTTAAAAGGAAAATAAATAAATATATTCTAAAATACATCCTGCGTTTGCCCCATGTCCTCTCAAGCAGCTGGTCTTCATTTGTTTCATTTTGAAAGTGAATATTTTAACTCCTAGGCAAATGCATGACCTGTATAATTAATGAAACGTGTGATTTAATTCAACACAAATGAAAGGTACTTAAGGACCTCCAAACTCTAATGTCTCCAGTTCAGCGAGGTCATCGCCACTTGTTAGAGAAGGTAAATCCCAGGATTCTTTGAGCAGGAGATCTTAGGTGCAGAAAGCATTTTGAAGAAGAAGGAAATTTCTTCACTCAAGCCCTATGAAATTGTGCATTCTTTGGGGGAAAACATAAGGGAAAAATATTTTTATTTATTGTAGAATAAGCAATTATTTTTTTCTTTCAATAAAGTGACCAGAGACAATATAAAACATAGAACTATATGCAATTTCCTTACTGAAAAGCACTTTTTATTAATTTCAATTATTCTTACTCTTTCGCTTTTGGTTACTTTCCTTTAAACCTTTTCCAAAATCTAATTTAACCCAATTTAATATTGTTGTTATTTTTATAGGTTCACATATATATAGTAGAATCTCATTAAAAAAAAAAATCTTAGTCACTATTTCAAAACTTTTGTTAATTTGACCTTTGCTAAATTAACATTTCAATGAGTATTTAAAGAAAGGATGTAATAAGCAGATAGTGAAAAGATGCTTTGAGAGGACATTTATGAACTAAATAATTTACCAACTGTATTCAAGAACTGAGCAATTTGATTTTGTACAAATGCTTATTGATGCTTGAAAACAATTCGTGAAGAATATAGTGATGTTATTATTTGAAAACATTGTTTAATGATTTATTCACCCATTAAGGCAATTACTGTGCTGTGTGCAAGGGGTATGAAGAAACAGTCGCAGCCCATTGTCCATAGGGAATCAGAACCTAAGGTGGCGAATGGAATTGTAAATATGGATGGCAGAAGCTCACTACTGAGCGCTTACTATGTATGAGATACTGGACTAAGTGCAATACACATAGTACGTTATTTAATTCTTAAAATAACCCAACCTTTGGGCTCCTGCTTGAAGGTAGAGATATAAGGAGATTCCAGTTAAAGGGAATTAATTGTTTGTACAAAGTCATAGAACGTTCAGGGAAAACCATGTCATTCCATAGGTTAGGAGTGAAGTAGCAGGATCTGAGGGTGGAAAGGTAATTTTACCAAAAATAATAAAATTAATTATTTTATTGTTGTTAGCAACAATAAAAATGTTTACAAGTGTTGCATCAGCTACTTACCAATAAAAGGTTTTGTATTAGGCATGTAATAGTGATGATGAATTTTGACTGAGCAGTTTCCATAGTTAAATATTTCTTGGTATAGGGTTCATCTTGTAAGAGTGTTCAACCACAAACCTTGTAATATATTTAAAAGAGGTGACCAAAAGAGTTATTTAGAAAAAGTTAAATGAATGGGAAAATCATAGACAGGAAGGAGTGAGATCCTGGAGTCAGGAGCTGTGCTCATAAATGGATTAGTTCAGTTCAGTGACATGTAATGGAGATCTGTCAGCGGTGTCAGATTCTTTTGAACCATCGCTCGCCCTGGAGGAGAACTTTTTGGATAAGTTCCAGCACGTGAAGGGAAAATAGTTAGCTTTTATAGCAGACAGTTTTTGCTCTAGACCTGACTAGCAGCAGAAATTGAAAACTGGTCATTAAAATAAATACTTTTCTGTTCACAGAGTGAAAATGAGTCAACGGAGGAAAAACATTAATTCACAATCCCAACCACTTGTTTAAAATAGTCTTCCAAAATACACTATAATTTATAGACGGGGGTCTTTTTCTTCCTCTTGCTCTTATATTTTTGTCTATGTCCAGTATTCTCTTAAAAAGTTTCTAAGAGGCAAGAGATATAAGAAAAATATAGGACTTTGAGAATAAAAGGCAACTTTGCTTATTAACCTTTCTCAAACTCCTGAACGTTTACATTCATTTTTAAACGCTGAAATAAAGGACAGCTATATTAGCATAGTATAAAATGAACTGAAATCTTGCTGGAGGATATGGCATCTTTCTTTTTAAATGCATGTTTCCAAGGATTTTAAACAAAATTTTTGCATGCTTCTTATTCATGTGGCTTATCTAGAATTACCTAATTACAGTTCCCTTCATTCTCATATCACTTGTATGATAAACTTGATATAACATTTCTGCAAAGTAGAAACTACTTCCCATTTCATTGATTTCCCCCTGCGTTATTGTTCATTATTGCTCAGCAGACTTTGGATTTCCAATACCAACGCAGTATTCCACTGAAGTGAGGAATTAACACCAGCAGGTTACTTCTCCTCTAGAGCTGCTATTAGTTGTATAATAGCTGTACATGCTAAATAATAGAGAAACATAAAACTTTTTCCTTTTGCTCTTTACTTTTTTGTCAAGTTCTGTTTTCAATTTAGCTCAATAGAATGATCCATCTGGCAGTTTCAGTCTTAGCTTTGTAAAATCCCAGGTCTTTAAGTAAGATTTTCTAGTCAACAATCTCTATTTAAAAAAAAAATACATGCTTTTGCACATAGGTCATAATCCTAAAAATTGATTGAAAATGTTCATCTGCCCTAGCTTTTAATGTAAGGAAATACTTAAACGATTGTTGTTTCAATATTGAGTTGTTAATATCTGAACTCATATGTAAGAAAGCACTCCATCTCTTGAAATAACATTCTGTTATCATTATTTGGAGGCAGTGAGGAGAACTTAGAAAAACAACAACAACAAATTGAGACTGGAATAGATTTTAGGTGTCAGTTAGACCAACTTCATCTTACAAAGGAGGACACAGAGAACCAGGGAAGAGAAGGGATTTGTATAAGATGATACATCATGTGAGTGGTGGCATTGGGATTTGAATCCAATTTTTCCAAATTTTATCGTTGCATATGGTTAAAGCATCTCCTTGTCACTTTGGAAGCCTCACCATTTCCCTCTAGGGTAAAACTTCTGCTTTGCCTTCTGTTTTTCCCTCAGTCTTGAAGAAATGCCATGATTTAGAGAAGCAAGTGGTATTTTCTGCCTTTATATAATTTTTTATCTTTATTTTTATCTCTAATCTGAATTAATATGCCAAACATCTTGATTTTAGAATTTCAGTACTAATAAAGATAATTTCCATTGTTTAATTCCTCAGAAAGATGCTTACAAATTAAAACATGATATATATTCTGGAATTCTTTTTCCGTGAATAAAGAGTGTTATTTTTCAATTACGTATCTAAACAATTTATAAAATATGAAAATATACTAGAAACGATCTTAATTCTAATAGATTGAGGGAAAAAATCTAACATTTATTGAGTTCCACTATATGCAAGACATCCTGTTAAATATGTATAACGTACCATCACATTCAGTAGAGGTAAATAATTTCTAAATATTATATCTGAATAAGAGTAAGTTGAGTATATTATTAGTTTATCTCTTTTTATTAGCAACTGTGTTTGTCTAATTGATCATGTTGGCTATAGAACAAAATATTTGAATTCAAATACCTTTTTTTACATGCAATTTATTATATATATGAGTTTTATGTATTTTTTTACTCAAATAAATAGTCTGCCTCAAATCCCTGTCCTCCCTTATCTGTACACATACCTTACCACCCAAGACACTCATTTCAAATGAGAAGACTTCTGGTTGAACTAAACTTTTAATGAAATGTAAAGAGTACTTTCTTAAATTATTGTTTCAGGATCCAAAATTCAAACTTACGTGAACACAGTTTTATATAGATCTTATCCATTGAATGTTATTCAATGGAAATATGAAAAACTATGAAACATGGATTTTATCCTTGTTTCACATGACTGATCAATTTTTTCAGTAGCAGAATACCACTTGAATCTTAAATGCAGTTGGCTTTATTGTAAAGTCTGAAAATTGAAATCTGAGCATCTCCTAAATGCATTTGCTTTCTTTCAGGCGGTTCCGCAGACAAGATGTTCGGCATGGAAACGCGGCTCAGCAGTGCTTGGGACAGCAGTTTGTTGGTAATCCATAGAAAATCGATTGCTGTGGGTTACTCAGAGTGTGCCTTGAAGATAAAATGCAAACTTGTTAAAAAGGGTCCTGTTTTCTTTGTGATTGATATATACTAGAACAAGTTACTGAAAGTATTCTTTTTTTTCCATTTCCAGTAGTTAAAATTTTGTGGATTTGACATATAATTTTTACATAATTAGGAAAATGTTTTATATACCACCACAAAACTTTACGATTAAACGTCAAAACAGGAATCCTGGAACAAGCATGTTGCGTACTTTAGGTGGCTGATGCCACAGTGAATTGCAGAACTTATCTCTCCATCTCAACCCTGGGAATATCCTCACTGTTATATGTTTATGGTAATTTTATCAAGAGTGATCTAACTGTATCAAGTCACCTACTGAGCTTTGGGATAGAATAAAGGGAAAAACTTTTGACTCTTTCCCTGGAGCACAGTAAGCCTGGAGCTGGGGTTGGTGGTGCACCCTTCTGAGGAAGGGTGGTAGGTCGTCTGATGGGTAAAGGATGAGAAGAAATTTCAGCTTTAGGCAAATGCAAGAAAGTCAAACAAGACAGACAAACACTGTCCTGACTCTTCACACCATGATGGTGGTTGGTGCATAGGCTGTGGTTAGTGTCACCAGTTTTACTAGGAAGTAACAGGGGGAAGGGGCACCGTAATTGGGAGACCAGCAGCGCTTACACTCAGATCCAAAGACTGCGGTCCAGCATTGGTTTGCTAGACCCCAGGCTTACTCAGGATTTGGTGCAGGACATAAACCTCTGAGAATATTGGCTAGAGAAGGCAGGATCTTAACCTTAGGGAAACTTAGGGGTCAGTTTTGAAGGTAAGAAGGACTCAGGCATAGGGAAAAAAATCCCGAGATCTTGTTATTGAATTTGATCTTGGTTAAAACAACAAAGAATAAATCCACCTGTTTTTATTCCCCATTGCAGTTAGGTATACTTGCTTGTATGCAAATTTAAGTTCAAATCCAGTGAGAGCCTTTCTGGGCCAAGATACAGATCATAATCAAGAAGCTTTGGTTCACAAAGTCTTTAGTTCAGTTTCACACTCTTTTCTTACTGAAGGAACCCAATATCTGGATAAATGCAATCTTTTGTCAAGATGTAGTGCCATATCATCTCGATTTCTGCTCTCTGCTTTTATTTGTAACCATGAACTTGGTCCTATGCCTTGCTTGACTGTTTGGTGCTCACCTTCTCTTGCCTGCTTTATCAATGGATGTTGCCTATAATTTCCCATGAATTTAACACTGATGCACCTTCTTACTGTCCTGTCTCATCCTTTGAAACCACACTCCCAGTTACTTCCTTCTGTGCCACCCCATAGCCTGTTGTTCCTTTTTAATGCCTAGATTTTGGTAGGTCAGTCTCTCTAAATAACGCCTTTAAATGACCTTGCATAGAAATTAGCAATAAATTATAAAAGCTACAGGGATCTGAATAAAGAATCTTTTTAAAAAATGTTGTTTACCAGTAAAATCAAAGTCTCTAGGCTGATGTTACATTTGTGTTGTAGGGGATGCTTTGGATAAGACTGAAGAGCGATTGGCCTATGGCATAGAGAACAACAGTACTTTGCTGGAATGCACTCCACGATCTTTACAAGCAAAAGTTATCTGGTTTGTGCAGAAAGGACGTGACACGAGAAAAGAGGAGGTAATTCATAGCTGCACGTTCATGTCTTGGTGTCCTGCATATAATGTGTGATTAGTAAATAGATGATTTATTTATGTGCTTAAAAATGAGACAGTCTGTTGTGCTATACATGTCATTTAAAAAGTGGGTTTATTTATTATGTGTAATTTATGTGCATATAAAGATTTTAAAATACTTATACATATATATTTTTATATACATCTGTATTTATATACATATATAAATAGATGATATATATGTGTTTGTGTATATATATTATAATTTGGACCCTAGAAATTGGATTTTTGTTCAGGGGGCACTTATAGCTTCATGATTTTAGCATCATGTTATCAAAATGCTAGTCTTAAATTGTATCACCCAAGGCAATGTTCTAGAAAAATAGCAAACTTAAAATCATTAACACATGTATCTTAGACATGTGGATAATAGAATTAAAACAACAGCAGCAGCAGCATTAAACCAGTCATTGATAAAGCTATTAAATCATATATAAGACATCGACATAGGGATCCATGGCTGTCCACTGGGAACAAAAGAAAGGCATCGGCTCTTTTGTCCTTTGAAGCAGGTTTAGTGGTGGAGATGATATTTCTATAATCATCTAATAATGAGAGAGGAGTGAGTTGGGCTGCTTTTATAGATGGAAGAATAGACGGCATTTAAAGCACATGTACAGAATAGTGTGGAGGTAGTTACTGGGTAGAAGAGCACGAGTCTAGGGAGCTGGTTGTATACAGGAAGAGGTCAAGGGCACGGAGCAGTTAAGGAAGGCAGATAAAGCATGGTTTATGTTGATGTGGGCCTTGAACTCAATTTTCACAAAAGTGGAATTATGAAAATAGAAAGTAGAATAAAATTTGGTTATATTAAAAGGAGATATATCTTAGTGAATATTGGAGAAATGGTCCAGAGTAAAGAGAAGGTTATGAATTGAATAAGGGAAAGAAATTCTAGAGACTTACCTCCTTAGGGCACAGGAGAGAACTAATAGGTGCATAGCGGATAGAGGGTGTCAATGTAGTCTCTGCCTCATTTTGGTGCTGGAGATGAAACATTTGTCATTGCAAGCCAAATGTAAAGCATGTTGACTTTTTATGCCTTTTTTTCTAGCCTGTGGTGAAATTAAAAGTCCAACATGGGGCCGGCCTCATGGCACAGCAGTTAAGTGTGTGCATTCTGCTGTGGCGGCCCAGGGTTCACAGGTTCGGATCCCGGGAGCGCACCAATGCACCACTTGTCAAGCCATGCTGTGGCGGCATCCCATAAAGTGGAGGAAGATGGGCACAGATGTTAGCCCAGGGCTGGTCTTCCTCAGCAAAAAGAGGAGGATTGGCATTGGATGTTAGCTTAGGGCTGATCTTCCTCACAAAAAAAAAAAAAAAAAAAGTCCAACATGTTTTTGGTCTAAAATCATACAGGATATTCTGTGAGATTATTAAATTTGTAAATTCCAGGTTCCTGGGATAGCTGTTAGAGAGGAAGGCACCTCAACTTTACAAAGGCTATTAGAGATAATATAGAAAGATAATCAGGAAAGGAAAATTCTCCTAAATTTTCATGACGTCATAAGAGTAAACATGTGTCCAAAAATGTTATAACATATTGCACTCAAATAAATTGTTGATTTAGTACTAAAGTATTTTCCGTTCCACAAGTCTGAGGTGAAATGGTTTTTTAAATTCCGTCATAACTCACTTGGCAGGAGAAGACCTGGAAATATTCTATAGTTCCTCCAGTTGAATGGCTTCAGAAGACAGAGAAGTAATTCTTTCATCAGTGATTTTCCTCACTCAGTATGGTCTGTTTCTCATTTGGAATTCACCATAATCTGTCTCATTTGGAAATCTTTACTGAATCATTTGACATGCTACATCCATCAATGTTCAATTATAACCTTCTTTCTCATATTGTTCGTATAGTCTATTTCTCCTTTCCCCCAATTTTTAGTACCTATTTTCAAATACATTCAAATTTCCCTGACTGATGTATTTACTGATATTTGAAGTTTTGAATTTAGCCTCTGTATTAAAAGTTATGTCATAATCAGATAACACTTGGTTTCTGTAGACACAGCAATATATGTACTGATTTATTCACAATCTAAAACAAAACAGCTCATGCAGGGATGGTAGGCCCTTATAAACAGCTTTAGTGTTTGTTCTGAATTAAATAGAAAGCCACTGGGTAGTGTTCAGCAGAGCCTGACAAAATCAAAATTTGGTTTTAAAAATATCTCTTTGGTTATTGTATTAAGAATATCGTATGTGGGGGTGAGGATAAAGGTGGAAGCAAGTAGTCATTGAGGTGATACGGACATAAATCTTTATGTTCAGTGACACAACATTAACTCTTAATGTGCCCTATACCTTCAAGGTCAAATGATGTGCAAGTAACTGCCCCATACTCATAATAGCAATATGATTCACATATATTCTCCAGTATTATTGAGAATTGTGAAGGCTCTGTGACTTCTCAGACAGAAAACTTTTCAACCTTCTACTCTCCTCTTTGTTGAGGTGTCTGCAATTAGTGTTTTGAACTCGATGAATATTCACTTGTCACCTACTTTTTTTGTGTGTGTGTGTGAGGAAGATCAGCCCTGAGCTAACATCCATGCTAATTATCCTCTTTTTGCTGAGGAAGACCAGCTCTGAGCTAACATCCATTGCCAATCCTCCTCCTTTTATTTTCCCCAAAGCCCCAGTAGATAGTTGCATGTCATAGCTGCACATTCCTCTAGTTGCTATATGTGGGACGCGGCCTCAGCATGGCCGGAGAAGCGGTGCGTCCGTGCGTGCCCGGGATCTGAACCCGGGCCACCAGTAGCAGAGCGTGCGCACTTAACTGCTAAGCCACAGGGCCGGCCCCACTTGTCACCTATTTTAATAGGTAATGAATAAATCATAGCCTTAGCCCTTTTGAAGCTATAGGCTTTTAGTGAATACAAGAATGTAAACAGAAAATTATGATGTATTGTGTTCCGTACAGGTTCTGTTAAAGCCAGAAGAAAAGAAAACTGTCTCAACCAAGAGATCGGGTGTGATAGAAAATCAGGGGGCATGATGGACAATCAGGGAAGGATTCATGGTAGAGGTGACATTTGGGCCATGTCCTAATGGATGAGTAGAAGTTAACTAGCAGAGAGAATGGTAAAAGCGTATGTGATGGAGATGGGAAACAATGTGGTATGTGTAGATCTGTGGCTGGAAATGAGGTTGCAAAAATGAATAGACAGATCAAGGAACCATTTCACTTTATCTATAAGCCAATGAAAACACCTTAGAGAAACTGTTTAGACAAATTACTCTAGAAACTTGCATACAGAATTGGAGGATAAGCAAGATGTCAAGAAGACCATTTAAGGCGGTATTTCAATAGTCAATGAAATATTTTTGACCAAAACTAAACAGTGATAGTAGGAAAGAAGAAGACAGATTTTAATTAAAAAAAAAATTTTTTTTTTTATGTGAGATAGATTGGCCCTGAGCTAACATCTGATGCCAATCCTCCTCTTTTTGCTGAGGAAGACTGGCCCTGAGCTAACATCCATGCCCGTCTTCCTCTACTTTTTTTTTATATGGGATGCCACCACAGCATTGCTCGACAAGCAGTGCGTTGGTGCGGGCCCGGGATCCGAGCTGGTGAACCCCGGGCCACTGCAGCGGAGCGTGCACTTAACCGCTTGCGCCACTGGGCTGGCCCCCAGACTTTAATTTTTATGAGCTAACACTGAGTGCACTTGATATTTGAAATAAAAGAGAAGAAGTCAAAAATGATTTACGTGGTCCTTGTTTGGGTGTCTGGTTGATGGTGCAGTAACATGAGTTAAGGAACAGAAGGGGGGAAAGCAGACTTGGGAGAAAGACGAGAAGGCAAGAGATGCATGAGGGACATCAGCAAAGAGGTCATAGTTAAATTCATGGAGATGATGAAAGTAAGAAACTATTGGTACTTGAATATCACTTACAGTGATATTTGCCAGGCACTGTCTAAGCACTTTACATATATTAATACTTTTAATCCTTGCAACAGCCCTATAAGTAGAGACTATTATTGTTCCCACTCTATAGATAAAGAAACTGAAGCACAGAGAGATTGAGTTACTTGCAGAATATCACATAGCCTGTGAAATCGGTCTGGATTTAAGCCTAGACAGTCTGGTTTCAATTCTAGGCCCTTAGTCACAGTGCAGTGGTGCCTCCAACTCACCTTGGAGAATGAGTAAAGAAGCAACAATATGAACTAAGGCTAGAAGCAGCAGGAAACCCCACATCTAAGGAAAAATTAAGAGAAGACAAATTCTAAGAGATGAAGTGAAAATAGAAAAACAAGAAATAATTACAGTTAGCATTCGTTTAGTGCTTACTAGGTGCCCTGTGCTCTTCTAATTGCTTTGTGTGCAGAAACTTATTTAAAGCTTACAACATTTCTCTGAGGTAGTTGGTATTATTATGTGCATTATGGAGATGAGGTTGAGTAACTGATGCAAAGCACGCAATGGTAAGTACCTCTAGAGTTGTATAGCTTAAAGAATTAGAGCCAGTGGAGTTGGGAGTGTGAGATAACACAACTCAGGGAAAAGGAACTGGATAAGGATAAAGTAATAAACAGCATCCTTTGAAAAATTCCAAGAATAAGTACCCAGCCTCTAGTGAGAATATGTCCAGTGGAATGGTTAAGCTAAGAGCCGTCTGGTAGTAGGTTAAGTGATGAATAGGGCTGTGTTGAATTAGAAACAACTAGAATAGTGTACTACACCTAAAGGTTTGGATGAGAAAGAGAGAGGTGGACAAAGAGAGAGAAGAGTAAAGAGAACTTCTGTTTTATTTTTTTCACTTAAGAAAAACCATGACTTGGTCATGTTTATAGGTTGAAGGGAAGTAGGCATAAAGGAGAAAATGTGCTGCTAATTGGTGAAGCAAGATAAAGAGTATGTGGGAGAGAATATAATTACAGGCAAAAGCTAAGGATTCTAAGAATGAAGAGAGAAACCCCTTATT